TGATATTTGGAACCACGATGCAAGCTCTTAGCTCCTTGATAACAACCTTCTCATGAAGCTAGGCGGCCGGGCTGCTCACAACTAAGTCTTGAAGGCACTCGACTCATCACTCCCTCGCGCCAGAACCAGACAGCTGCGGTGGTAGCACCAGGCCCAATCGCCGCGTATCCCCCGCTTATCGCACAGAAGACCACTCGCAAATCTACATCTGACAGCCCAGATCGATTCAGATCCCAGATACTCACCAGACACCAGAGGAAGGCGGCTGCTGCCACGAGAAGAAAGTCGTTCTGGAAGAAGACGAATACTCCATCCGCGAGTGATTCAACAGGTGCAAACGAGTTCTTCGGAATGAAGAGACTAGTCAGAGACAATTCGCTTGAGACCAGGGATCCGATGATCAAGCTCAGGTGGAAACAGGCTGCAATGGCTCCTGTTGTCTGATAGATAGTACGTAAATGTGGAAGGTCGCTGTTTGTGTCTGCAGAAGAGTTCGCCTCCCTTTTAATAATGCGTGATACCACGGCTGTCGCCGCGGAAAAGGCCGTGGTGAGACTGGAAATCCATACTGGGGCTGGTTGCCATAGAGCAATCAGTGCCTGGCGAGTGCCTGAACTCGCAAAGGGCCAGAACAGAAGCATGGTGGGCACGATGAATCCCAGCATTAATGCCGGCAAGATGAACTTGGCTGCGGGAACCTCCCTACCAGGTTGAATGAAGAAGGTCGATCCCCGCGAAACGAATAAAGTGGTTGCGATGTAAAGGGGTGCAATGAAACCGATACCGCGCAATTGATAGAGGATGCCCCAGACGGTGGCACTGAGGGCGGCATTAGCAAGCCATACCCTTGATTAATGAACCTAAACTTACCTGGCAATCGGCGTCCACGTATTCCGCTGTCGATATCCTTCGACAGTAAATATGGCGATCAAGGGTAGCATCGATGACAGGAAGTAAAGTAGATGCAGCTGTTGCCCAGGGTTCGAAGGATTGTCAATCGCTGATAGGAAAATGGTTACCAGCGATTTAAGAACGTTGTCAATAGAGGTCAATCCACTATAAGTGTGTCGCAATTCCAAATCCCTCTCCTTAATTGAACCACTCATAAGCGCCTGCTTCACAAACCGCCACGTCCCGTTGACCTTTCCAGCGGTAAGCAACAACTTGAATGCAGTAAAGGCCATCGTTGCGAAAACGGCGTAGAGGGTAAAACCAATTGGCCCGCGCGAGGACGGAGGTTTGAGCAGCTCATCGTAATAGGGGATCTCTCGAGGCTTTCTGGGAATTGGAAGCATGTTCAATGAGACCGCGGGAGAATACGTCTGAATCCAGCGAGGTAGGAGAGCCCACTTGGGGATATATGGGACAATCACTCTAGCAGCGAATTTCAAGAACGGCGTCTCCATACACTCCAGCCGCTGTCGTGCATGTGAGGCTCTGACGAGGTCCCAGACCCGGTTTTCTCGCTGGCTTTGTGTCTGTTCAAAGATAAATGTGATATCGTCTGTTGATAGGTGCTTCATTGGATGTGTCCTCAAGAATGAAACGAGATGGTTCGCCAGAGCCGCTGCCGTTTCAATTGCCGAGTTACCACCCTGCCCAGTCAAGGGTTCAAACTGAATCGCCAGACGGTTAGTGATCTGCGTCACACAAAATTTCTCGGGCATGATTATGGAGCATACCTTGTGAGCTGCATCTCCAATAGTTATGGTTCTTTTGAAATGCCACTTCTTGTAAACGTACTCTGGTAGCGCCGTGTATACCGAGCTCAATTTTTTTTTGTACAGATCAGAGAATCGCACTTTTGGGGTTATCAGGTCGTTCCAATGCTCTTTGGCGAGTACCTCTTCCTCGTCTTTGGTGAATCGTGGGATATCAGAGCCATACAGGGTCTTTCCCATATTCTTCACCAGGAACCAGTATGTTCTGTCCCCAGGACCGCTAGGGATCAGGTACGAGAAGTGCTCGTTGAACACCGAACTGAGTGTTCCTTTCTCGATGCCATCTACCCCTTCCGATATACCGAAAATGCAGGCGTATGTTGCCGGAATTGCTAACTTCTAGTCAGCCCTCGGTCGCTTCGGTTGGATACCATGGTCAGACTCTACCGTTTGCTTCAGACTTGTCGAACCACGTTGGGTCTGTCTTCTGTGCGTCATCCCACATTTGCTGCCGAACAGTGGAGTGGATACCGTCTCCTCCAACGACAAAAGTGCCTGTGTATGTATTCCCTCTTTCCGTGATAACAGACACGTGCGATGGATGGTTCTTCACAGTAACGACCCGCTCGGAAGTCAGTATCTTGTCTTTCTGTTGAATATGGTCGTAAAGAGTCTGTATTAACATGCGGCGATCAAGGAAGACAATCGGGTAACCATGTCTATATACGCGAGTCAACAGATATATTCTCGGACAGACGTTTCGCTCGAGGAAACACAAGTCACAAACCTGCCCACAATCTGTTCGTTGAAATTTTCAAATGACCAGAACGGCTGCCCTTGTGAGTTGCGGAAGATCACTTTGTCAACTGGATATTCGGCTTTGGCAAGTATTTCCTCGCTGCATCCCAGCTGGTCCAGGATGCGTAACCCATTCGGCAAAACTCCGATACTTGCTCCCACTTGAGGAGCAATGCTGGGATAGCCTTCTAGTACAAGGAAATCAATGTTATTCTTCTCTAGCATCAGAGCCAGAGACAGGCCAGCAATACTGCCGCCCACTATAATAACTTTGGGGGTTTTCAAAGACATGTTTCAGGGTTCAATCATCTAGATAGTATCTGTTCTCTTTGCTTCCAGATACTTTGCAAGGAAGAAGCTGATTTTATAGCCCAACGCTACTTTCGTTGGCGTACCTTGATTACTGATCTTGATGCCCTTGATTTATACTGGAGTCTTTCAATTCCTCCGATATTTAGTTTCTTGACTTTTAGCCGAGGCCAAAGTACCGGAATTCAATACCAAAATTTTGCGAATTTTGTTATGATCACTAACCAAGCCAATCAAAACGTGAGTTGGTGCGGCTTCGGAGAAACTTCTGTGCCCACCCACAACCCTCAAATCACAGCATGTTACATGAAAATGGTATCTTTCTTGTTTAGGAACTGGTAGAGCCTACGAGTTCAAAGAGAAAACAGGGTAAACTCACCGGCAGCACTGCAGCAACCTGTCCCGCCATTCCACTCCATATTGTAGTGGGGTGCGCCCATGCATAACTGAAAATGTGGAAGAGGGGTTTCAGCGCCTAAGGCCTCGACACCTCAGGTCCCTTATAAACGCAACTTTGACCTGCGTTTCGCATAAGCCCAGGGTCATTTCGTTCTACCAGCATGTTTTTGTCACTAACCGACCCTTCCACCTAGCTTACAGGGTCGCCCGCATGGGCGACCCCGCCACCTCAACGTAAGGAGCCATCTCAACGTTAGATTTTTCAAAATATCGACAACTTTTTGAGAATTAGTTTTATCCAACCACCACAATGCCTAGTGATTACCATATAATTGAGGCTAAGATTCAAAATGCTATTGAACACCTGCGTCAGTAAAAAAATTGCAAAAGCTACGTGTGATTTTGAGGTCCCTGTATCGCGCCTGTGAGCGCGTTGGAAAGGATGTTAAACTTAAAGCTAATAAACGCCTTTGAATTGGAAGCTTGATAATACTTAGGAGCTTACTCTAAAGACATATATTAATATATTAGATGAGATGATTATCCCTCCGCGGCCGAAGCAAATCATTAAATCAGTTAATGAGATCTTGCACGCAGATTATACTGACCCTGTTCCCCAGGGGCCAACCGACCCTACATACGGTCCCCCTTCGCCGCCCGCTGATTGGCTCATTGGCCCCCGTCCCGTTCCATCTCTCGTATTTTGACCGTGCGTGCTCCCGTCCCCCACTGGGTGCGTGCCCCTATCCTATTACCCTTTGCTGCTGGCTCTGGCTTCCTCCCCTTGGCCACCTCTAACTCCTTCCTATTTAGGGGCATGCTGGCACGCCCCCAGCTCCTCTCTCGATCAGCACGCCGTGAGATCAAGATCAATCACACCCCTTTTTAGTTATAAAAGGATCCTGATCCTGGATATATAATTTCTTTTTCTTTCCGCCTTAGGTAATCATCATAAGGCGCGCGTCGCGTTTTGAATTGAATCTACCCAATGTCGCGCCTCGTCACCGTGATGGATGGGAAAAACCTAAGAAGTATCATCCTCATCTATATATTATATAAATATCCCCATCTACTACTTCTGGATTTGCGTCTCAGGCCTGTATTAGTAGTATCTTTAACATGGACCTGTTTCTCTACAACCCCACCTACCAGGTCTGGATCTGCACCGGCCCCCGCTGCCAGTATGCGGTCTCACCCCTGACCTTGCTGGGTCACCTCCGCACCCGCCACCGGTCCCATCCCACCGTGGCCACGCCTGCTCTCTGTCAGGCGGTGCTGACCCAGATGCTCCAGCGGCCATGGGCGGACCTGGGCTAAGGGCCCTGCCCCTAGCCCTCCGCGGGGGACCCCCCTGTGCCAGGTCTGCTAGTGTACCAGGGCCACGGGTGCCCGCATTGCCCCTATATCTGCTGGTCCCCGGCCCTGCTTCACAAACACCGCGCCCAGAAACATCAGGACTAGGAGGGGCACTGGGGCCAGGGCTGGCTCTTAGCTGCCTAGGCCCACGCCCGCGCCCGCGCCTGCCCGGCCAATCGCGTGGTGAGCTGCCAGCGATTCTTTACTAGCTGGGTAGGAAGCCATTTCTTTGAGGTGACCTGTGCTGCCTAGCCAAGCCCACCGGCCCTGTCAGCCACCCCCTAGACCCCTGCGGAGCGGATCCGCGCCTATGTCAACCAGGCCCTGCAGGAGAGGGAGGCCGCGGCGGAGCTGGCTAACAGCTAGGTCCCCAGCCTTGGTGCCTACCCGACTGAGGTCTCTCCCTGGCTGGAGCTGACCCGCTGGCCGGAGTACCTACGGGGGCAGGACCTGACCGCAGTGGCCCTGCTAGGCAACCTACCTGATCCGGCCCAGGAGCCCCTGCTGGCCCTGTTCAGTGCCAGTGTCGAGCGGCTGATCTAGCAGGCCTACCAGACCATCCGGAGCAGCCAGATCAATGAATTTGACCAGGTCTAGATCAATACCTTCTTTCGCGAGCCTGGGGTCTGGAACTGGCCTATTTAGATCTACCTACGGCCGAAGACCTATTGCTAATACTGCCAGGTCTGGCAGCGGCTGGTCTGCTTCGCCTACCGCAGCACCCAGCCAGACCAGCCCATCCAGCTGCGCCACTAGCTTAACACCGCCCAGCTGGCCGCGCTAGACCAGATGGAGGAGTACGGCCGGCAGTTCCTAGCCCTGCGCGCTAAGGGGCCAGAGACCTGACCAGCATTTGAGGCATCACAGATACCGCAGGAATCAGGGGCATCGGGGGCACCACTGCTAGCACCCCCAGCGCCCTGGGGATCAGCCGAACCCCTAGGGCCCCTAGTGCTACCAGCACCCCCACCACTATCCCCCCCGGAGGAAAAGGCACAGAACTGGCTAGACCAGGCCTGTCTCGCCCTCTCCATTGCCCTCCTGGACCATACCCTGAAGGGGGATCTCTTTGAAAGCACCCTGGTGGCCTTCCTAGCAGTGCTGGGGGTGGACCCCGCGCGCCAGACCTTCCAGGAGCCCTATAGCTATACCAGTTACCTCTCCGGTTAGGGTTAGGGTTAGGGTTAGGGTTAGGGTTAGGGTTAGGGTTAGGGTTAGGG